TATAGAAGTGACGTCACGCGACATTTGAAATCAATATATCGTCGAAAGTATTCGTTTCTGTGAGAAAATAAAAAATACGTGTCTAATGATTTAAAATAATCTACCAGACGGACATTAAAATAAAAATTAGGCATCTTATTAACATTTTAAAACCGTAGCTAAAAACATAGACAATATAAGTAAGCATTTCGAATTTTCATTTTTTTAAACGTTGCCCAACACTAGGATTTTCTCCTGTGTCGTGTGTGCGTTTACAAACATACAAGTTCACATACACATGACACACAGACTCAGAACAACAATCTGTGCATCACACAAAGAGTTATTCCTTAGAAAACTAAAGGGAGATTTTTATTTTTATTTACTTCCCTTATAACTGGCCACCGAGATTGGTTTTAGTGAGGAAAACATCGCATACTCCTTACTCATTCGCCCCAAAAACCTAGGGGCCTTTTGAAAGTTCCCACCCGTCATAAAAAAAAAGCTTCACTGACAGCCAGTCTGCCAGAATATTCTATTTTTCTTGACGTTTCACAAGTACTTGTACACTTTGACTGACTACAAATCGTAGGTAAGAGCGGCATACGAAAAAAATGACCCTTTGCCCCTACTGTTATTTTTTTCATATTTTTAATGTACAGAATTTACACATCTTTAGTTTTACTAGCCACTTCCGCGCGATTTCACACGGTCTGCTCAGCTCCTATTGATCGTAGCGTGATGTTTAATAGCCTATAGCCATCCTCGATAAATGCGCTATCCAACACAAAAACAATTATTCAAATCAGACTTGTAGTTACGGAGATTAGCGCGTTCAAACAAACGAACAAAAAAACAAACTCTTCCGCTTTATACAATAGTATAAGATTATACATAAGATAGATGTTCGTTCCTTTTCCTCCTGGTGACAGGGATATACGCTCAAAAGCGTGGGTTTAGTTTTTTTTGCGATAATTTTATTAAAATTCCATAGCTATTGCGAACTTACAAAACCTATAAAGATATGTTTATGTTGAATTCTCGTTGCTAGAGGTTGTCGCCTTAGCTCAGTGGCCACTGAGCTATAAATAGCCTCAGTCAGGATCATCAACCTGTATCCCGTACTAAGCTATAGGAGTAGACACACGGCATGGTACCTATATAGATAGCCACATTAACAGCCTATAAGTGGCCACTGCTGACCATAGGCTTTCTCACACGGAGAAGGTCTAATCATTAATAACCACGCTTGCTCAATGCGGGTTGACGATTTCAAACCTATATTTAGAAATTATAAGTCCAAATTTCCTCACGATGTTTTCCTTCACCGTTTGTCAATGGTGTCTAGATAATTATTTTCACAAAAAATCAAAGTCGAAGTCATAATCATTTATTTCAATTAGACCAGGAAGGCACTTTTAAACGTCAACAAAAAAATTAAAAGTGAAGCTATTTGCTCATTCCAAGGTGTAGATTCCTATGTAGAAGAACGAGCAAGAAACTCCATAGGTTACTCTTTTAAAATCAAGTTCACAATACAATTCTCTAGTTACATAGTTTTATTGGTTCGATTGTGTGAGAACAAAGCAACACTAAAATACAGTCAAAGAGATCGAAAGACTGCACTACTGAGAATTAGGTATCGAAAATCCAATAGTTCTTTAACCGACCCAATATCAAATCAAACCGTCACAAGAACTGTTCACACAGCGAAAAATATAGCTTAAACTGTCAAACACCAAGCGGTCACCGGTGACCGCAACCTATTGTTCTATAATTGTGTCTACAAAACCGGTACTCGACGAGTTAAAAAACGGAATTTCGCATAGTCTTTTAACTCGAGTTGCACAATAAAGCAATGCGTTGCTTGTCCGTGTGTCCTTTCCAATCTCGTGAACAATGAGACAGATATCATTGAGATCTGAGACTTTTACTCGAATTCAGTTCACTCAGTTCACATAGTTTTAAATCGAACCTTGAACTGTCTTTATAACTCACATGTGTGGTGACGGTAGAATAGAATACATTTGACACCACCGCTACTCTTGTCGTGGGTGTCGTATACCCGATTAAGGAATTACATAATTGAAAGAACATAGATGGATCACTAACACAAACCTGATCCTTTTTAATCTGCGTTCTCCCACCCACTGGCCAAAACGTTTGACACTCGCAAAACTAGAAAAATTACTTAAAATAATCTCAAAAGCATCTTATTTCAATAAATTAAACCATAATTTAGTACTTTTGAAACGTCAACAAACAATTAATATAAAATAAATAATAGTCTGTCAGTCTGTACGTCAGTGAAGCTAGGCGCTCGTTCCAAAAGGTAGATTCGAATGAAGAAGAATGAGCAAGAAACTCCATTCGTTCGGCAAGCAACGGACGACACTTTTATAAACTTGATAGGTCGGCGTTTGGCCCCCATCTAGCCTGGTGGTGCACGATGATGTGGCCGACGATGGAGCACGCCTACCTATGAGCAACCTATTCACTCGGGATCAGGCATCGGGGATCGCGGGACGATCTCCGTACACCGTAAGCGCGGGCCTGCGGACGGCGAGCATGGGTGACTCGCCGCCTGACTAGAACCAGACCAGAATGTACGTCGCGTCGCGTTCCACGCGCACCTCAAAGAGCCATCAGACCACCACGGATGGGGCCCATTAGGGCTGATGCCGATTCGGAGTCGCGGAGAACCTAACGGAATACCGGGGCTCCGGCTCGAAGCGCAGGGGTAGGAACAGGGTGGTTTTTAGTCAGTAAGAGTCTGACACTCCCTCCCACCTCACGCAGGCGGGAGAAGGCATTGGATGACTTTCCCCCCTTAAAAAAACAGTCATGTTACTTATTATTATGTTTTTGGCTTACTCCCGTAACTGTTTGAAAGACACTCGACTAGTTTTAAGCCACGCTAGAGGCTCATATTCATGAGCAGCATTCCGCGACCCGCGACGCGGCGACTGTCGCGCTGCCACTGCGGTAATATTATCAAATAGTTTTCATTCGGTATGTTTTATTTCAACGATGTATGTAGCTAAAATATTATTATATAAGTTTCATGGCATGCTAACACACTGGTGTGACTAATTCTATATATAATTGTACGATTATTCTTAACGAATAACAGTATAATAGTAAAGTGATGAATGATGAAGTCAACGAGCAGACGGATCACTTGATAGTAAGCAATCGGCGTCACCCGCAACACTAGAGGTGTTACAAGTGCCTTGCCGGACTTTTGCTCTAATGAGTTTTTTTTTTAAAGGGGGAAACTCATCGAATGACTTCTCTCACCTGGGTGAGGCGGGAGGAAGTGTTAGACTCTTACTGACTAAACACCACCCCGTTCCTACTCCTGCATTTCGACCCGGAACCCCGGTAACTCGTTAAGTTCTCCGCGGGTCCGTATCGGCATCAGCCCTATTGGGCCCCATCCGTGGTGGCTCTTTGAGACGCGACGCGCCGTACGCTCGGGTCTGTTTCTGGTCGGACGGGGAGCCACCCATGCTCGCCGTCCGCAGGTCCGCGCTCACGGTGGCCGGAGATCGTCTCGAAGGAGTATTGAGTTTTCGATAACAGAGTTGAAATTCAAATATACTGCTTATTCACATCGTCAGAACAGTTTGTACATCATCTAGATAGGTCACAAAGGGGCCTGGAATATGTAGCTGTGTACGCAACGAATCACAGCTGTCAACACAGTTCGTTACGCAATTATTTCATTTAATTCGTCCAAAATATTATCAGTATTATTCAGACTGCCTCGTTGGCCGGGTAGTCGCAAATGCGACTGCCGGGCAAGGGGTCTCGGGTTCGATTCCCAGATCGGTTAAAGCATTACTGGGTTTTAAAAAAAGTTTCAGTAGTAGCACGGAGCCTGGAAATGTACCGGTATATGGCAATAGGCTCACCCCCTATTACATGGGACTCATAGCATAAATAGTGAAAAGTGGGTGTTACATTGTACAGTGGCATTAAGTGCTGTAATGTTCACCTTTGCCTACCCTTTCGGGGATAAAAGACGTGATGTTATGCATCGGCGCCTGTAGACACCCGCAACTGAAGTTAGCAACTGCTTTATGGAATTGATTTGAAAAAAATCGCGAATTAAATATAGAGGGCGTGTCTGTCGTTTTAAGTCAGATATCAGGGTGGACATGTTGCTCATAGATAGGAGTGCTCCATCGTCGGCTGCATCATAGCTTACCACCATATGAAATAAACCATACTGAATAATTGATAAGGTTTTGAAAATATCTAGTCAAAAATATTGTTAACGTTAACAGTACCTAGATATCAAAAAATATAAAATGGTAGTATCTACCTATTTCTTTTACATACCTCCTTATGACATAAACGCGAAAGTTACCGAGAATAGATTCTGATGTGTCATTGTTACGCATACGCAAAAACTGCCGTGCGAAATTTGATGGAGTTTGACACATGGATAGATCATATCCTAGATTAATATTGGCGAAGTAAAATTATATAATAATACTAAATTACCTTTAGTTTTCGAGTAAGTATACGAATACTGATTAAAACATGTTTATTTAAAACACTATGGTTTTAGACAAAAAATGTATTCTTTTGCGTCATATTTTAATAGGAGTAGGTATAAAAAGGTAGCTTTAGAATTAAGTTATAATACCTAGACGCTCAAATACATTTAAATACCGATTTTATGTAATATAGAAAGTAAAAAACTGAGTTACATAAAATATATGTCGACGTAGGTAGATTTTTATGTACATACATACTAAACTACCCTGTTTTAAACATACATTCTTTAATTATTCAATGAATATACGAATAACTTAAGTTTTTAAACTAAAAAAAGCAGTTTCACAATCGAAAATCGAAAATAAACGTAATCGTAGACGATTCTACTTAAGTAATGTACTTTTTATGACGAAAGCAAGCGAAACCGGTCGGCGTAGTTATTAAAACGGGCACACAAATAATATTTATTCTTGTCACAAGAATCTACGCAAATTCTACGAGCATCGACTCACCTGCGGTCCAACTGGAACACACGAACTATCGATGTAAAGATCCAAACTTTAAACAGACACAGTTTACAACTAATAATATTTTTAAACTATATTTTTTCAATTATAAATCAAACACAGTCCGTTGTGAACACAACAAATTTTGACATCTGTCAAATTGAACAACACTATGAGTTGTATATTTTTTTAAGTTGTTTTTTTTTTCGAAATAGGCAAAGACGCGTGTTGCGGCGCGGCCAACTAGCCGGACTAAACGCCTGTCCACTTTCGAATCTTGCGATGCATTGTAACACAAACTTGTTTTACTAGCCCGAAAAATACTTTCCCTACCCTAACACCAAGTAACAAAGTCCACAATCGCATAAAAGATTTATTTCTTAGCTGTAAAATTAACATTGTATGGTTTTAATAACAACTTTCAATGCGTACGGCATATAGTACCTTTTGTTTTGACGCTTAAGGTTAATTATTGTCTGTGAATTTATGTAGGTAGTACATCCGCGAAGGTTTTGTAGTGGCATCGTTAACACAGATATTTATAAGTCAAATTATGTGAACTAAACTATGATATAAGACTTAGTTGGGTCAATCTCCAAAACGGGCGTATTCGTGTGATCGCTCTGGTGCTTTTCAGATATTGATATTTAATGGTAATTATGCATATCATTAAAAAGTATGATATTCAAATAGTATTTTTTTACTATTGGCCTTCAATTTACACAAACGGTTATGGAAATATTTAAGTTTAAAAAATTTCGCGACCAGAGCAATCATAATTGGTGCCAGAGCGATCATAAATGGTGAAATCAGTGAAACAAAAAAAATATATTGATAAAATATTATTTATTTAGGCATTTTCAGTCATATTCAGTGTACGTGTAACAAGATATATATAAGAGAAATGTATTTTTAGAAAATGGTCAAGGCATCAGTCATACATATAAAAAATTCGGAATAGTTTATATAAAATAATTGCTAAAATAACAAATTAACATAATTATAAAAATCAACTTTTGGGGTAGTTCCATTTATTTGGACTTAATTAAATCACTTCTAGGTAAATGAGACAAAATTAAAAACCTTTTGAGATCAACTATTAATACCTACAGTCTTTTATAATTATAAAATGACTTAGACAAACTAAATAAAGAAAACTAACTTTTATAAAGAACAAAATAAAATTCTTAAAAAATAAACAATTTATAAACTTAACTATTTGTAATCATCATAATGCTTAATAGGACTTAGAATCATGACTAAAATACAGTCTTTTCAAGATTATCTAAGATATTTGTAATAATCACTTAATTCCTTAACTATATCTTTAGTAGAAAGTAAAGAACATTTGAAAGAGGATCACAGTTCTCAGATATATAGATAGGTTCTTCATTTATTGGGAGCTCATCAGTTGCTGATAACTTATCCACTTTTTTCTTTAAATAATATCGTCGAGAACTCTGTCTACTTTTCTTCCTACGAACCTTTTGCTGGCTTGGAGTTAAATCACTCATTGGTAGTACTGTGCCCCGAGCTTTTTTCCTTTGATAACTCTCTCTGGACTTTACAAGCCATTGTGCGTATAGATCTGGATCATTTTTTATTTTGGCCATTCTACGACGCTCAGCCAATTTCTTCCTAAGACGTTTTTCTTCAATAGATAATTTATTTCGAGGCATGATTTCAATCTGCAACAATAGTTGCCATTAAATTTTAAAGAAGAAAGGGTTTTAGTTGTGGTTAGCTAAATGCCAATATAATAATATCATCAAGGTAAAATACGTCAAAATCTGTTTATGGGTTTAGGTTATCCAAGGAAACCCAGGCAAGGTTATAAATTAAAGGTTATGTGCATAGTTCATCGTTTGTCATTGTTACAGTCCGGTACTACTACTTAAAATAGATTTATAACGTACAATTAATGCAAAATATAATCGCTCTGGTCTTTTTGGACAGAGCAATCACAGCCATAGCGATCAGAAAAAGTCACAAAATCATAAATATAGCCGAATTTAAAAGCAGTAGAAAGTTGTGATTACGTCTCATAAAGAACATCATAACGATCACTTAATTCATATAACAAACACATTCACAAGCTTACTATTTAATTTAAATAACGTGCCATAGCAATCATAAAATTCGAGAACCAAATCCAGAGCAATCATAAACTTACCTTCGTAAAGTTGGAGCGCGAGAACGTGGCACACAGGTATCCTCCTCGGCGGTTAGACCACTACTGGCGTTGCCCCGCGGGAGGGGAATAGAGTGTCTATAACGCGTAACTAGGGATGAGCGCGATGTTTTACCTCAGCGCAGAGCGATGAGATAAAATGCCCGGTCACGATTTTAAATTCAAATTGTGGCAAAAGTATTGTTAATATAACTACAAATATTTTATTACTATGAAGATTAACTATTTGTTATGTAATCTAAACAAGTTGTTTTATATGAACCTTCTCATTAAAAAGTTAAAAAATATTTTTTTCATTCAATCGGGAGTTGGGTCAACCCAGAGCGATCAGGATTTTAGGGTTTAAGATTTTTTTTAAATTATTTATAATAAACTTATTCATAATATTAGCCTTGTATCACGTAGATTAGACACTGAACTGTCTATAAAAAAATATTTTGAAAACGTTTTTCGATTTTAAAATGGGTTTATCCAGCCCGACACGAAAAAAAATGCCTCTGGAGATCGACCCAGGTGGTTAGCTAAATGCCAATATAATAATATCATCAAGGTAAAATACGTCAAAATCTGTTTATGGGTTTAGGTTATCCAAGGAAACCCAGGCAAGGTTATAAATTAAAGGTTATGTGCATAGTTCATCGTTTGTCATTGTTACAGTCCGGTACTACTACTTAAAATAGATTTATAACGTACAATTAATGCAAAATATAATCGCTCTGGTCTTTTTGGACAGAGCAATCACAGCCATAGCGATCAGAAAAAGTCACAAAATCATAAATATAGCCGAATTTAAAAGCAGTAGAAAGTTGTGATTACGTCTCATAAAGAACATCATAACGATCACTTAATTCATATAACAAACACATTCACAAGCTTACTATTTAATTTAAATAACGTGCCATAGCAATCATAAAATTCGAGAACCAAATCCAGAGCAATCATAAACTTACCTTCGTAAAGTTGGAGCGCGAGAACGTGGCACACAGGTATCCTCCTCGGCGGTTAGACCACTACTGGCGTTGCCCCGCGGGAGGGGAATAGAGTGTCTATAACGCGTAACTAGGGATGAGCGCGATGTTTTACCTCAGCGCAGAGCGATGAGATAAAATGCCCGGTCACGATTTTAAATTCAAATTGTGGCAAAAGTATTGTTAATATAACTACAAATATTTTATTACTATGAAGATTAACTATTTGTTATGTAATCTAAACAAGTTGTTTTATATGAACCTTCTCATTAAAAAGTTAAAAAATATTTTTTTCATTCAATCGGGAGTTGGGTCAACCCAGAGCGATCAGGATTTTAGGGTTTAAGATTTTTTTTAAATTATTTATAATAAACTTATTCATAATATTAGCCTTGTATCACGTAGATTAGACACTGAACTGTCTATAAAAAAATATTTTGAAAACGTTTTTCGATTTTAAAATGGGTTTATCCAGCCCGACACGAAAAAAAATGCCTCTGGAGATCGACCCAGTTACCGACTTACAGTAGTACAATAGAAAAAAACTACAGTTTCTTCATACTATTTTCCAATCTTACTGTTGATTTATCGAATTTTTCATTCATCGAAAGGTTGTGTGGACAATATCGAATGTAATAATCATCCAATTCGATGCAGTTGTTTGGGAGTTACGCTCGAACAAACATTACAGTGATTCATAACTAAATGGCTATCTAGGTACCTAGGTCGTGTAATAAAATCATAACATAAACTCACGCCTTTGTCCCGTGGTATACAGAAACTACAGAGCTCCACCAACTACGCTCCTTACATACTTCTTTAGCTTCCATCACATTCATACATCTGATGATATACAGAAACTACAGAGCGCCACCTACTACGCTCCTTACATACTTCTTTAGCTTCCATCACATTCATACATCTGATGTTATACAGAAACTACAGAGCGCCACCTACTACGCTCCTTACATACTTCTTTAGCTTCCATCACATTCATACATCTGATGTTATACAGAAACTACAGAGCGCCACCTACTACGCTCCTTACATACTTCTTTAGCTTCCATCACATTCATACATCTGATGATATACAGAAACTACAGAGCGCCACCTACTACGCTCCTTACATACTTCTCTAGCTTCCATCACATTCATACATCTGCCGCCGCCATCGCTCAAAGAGGTTTAGGTACTGCGATCAGATGTAGTCTTACCTTTGTCATTTGTTTACAAACATCTGACATCGATGTTGGCCTGAGTATAAAGTAAACTAGCGCAGATACTACACTACATAGGTACTTATAATATGCTAATACAGCTGCACTCTCTGTCCTCTCTCTCACATGACGTTTCTGGCTTCCTGCCCCAACACTAGGATAGTCTCCTGTGTCGTGTTTGTGTTTACAAACATACAATTTCACATACACATGACACACAGTCCCGGAACAACAATTTGTGGATCACAAAAATAGTTGTTCCGTGCGGGAATTGAACAAGCGACACTTTGAACAGCAGGTTGCCCAGCCACTGCACCGACCGTGCAGTCCACTGCTGCTGCTCTAACTAAACTGTTTATATGTACCTACGCAATAATCTCCAGAACTACTCGTCCCAAATGAATAATCTGGATAGTCAAAGAATTGTATAGCTATAAAACATCACGCTGCCATCAATAGCAGCCGATCAGCGCGTGAAACCGCGTGGGCCTAGCTAGGAGATACTAAAATTTTCCATAACAGTACATACATATAAAGATAGCCAACCCATAATGTTTACTTTTCTACCTACCATTTCATCACCATCTCTTCTCACACGGAGGTTTGAGCATTAATCACCATGCGGGCTGGCGATTTCAACTTAGAATTACAAATTATAATTACAATTACTTATAATAGAGCGTACGGCGCGTCGCGTTCCGCGCGCGCCTCAAAGAGCCATCAGACCACCACAGATGGGGCCCAATAGGGCCGATGCCGATTCGGAGTCGCGGAGAACCTAACGGGTTACCGGGGCTCCGGCTCGACGTGCAGGAGAAGGAACGGGGTGGTTTTTAGTCAGGAAGAGTATGACACTCCCTCCCGC